CCACTAACCTACAACAGATGCTCTCACATACCAAAAAGTAGCTAATTATCCTTTTTATCTTTTGCTAATTTTTTAATTCGTAGAAGTAGTAATTTGTTCTTATCATATAGTTTCTTTCAAGTGTATTTAAAGGTCTCTTCAGATATGAGGAAAGCAGTGAATAAAATCTCAAAATTCTAGTTTCTTTTCTCACCTTGAGCAGAAAAATAATTCTTTTTTAATCTTTACTTTGACTGGGACCTAACATTGGTATCAAACCAAGTTCTTATGTTGACCAACAAAGAGTGCATCGAAAATATGGAGACGGGCCTCGAAGGAGTGCAGGACCATCTCAATCGCATGGAAATTGGAATGGTTGACCGATTTTGAATGATCTAACAATCCCCCTAACGACTCACAGACGTCGTCACCTCGGGCAAGGAAGGCTCTAGCAGCCATCATCCCCCTCGCCCCAGCTCACTACCCGTAAATCACCACGAAACACTTCAACCCAAAGATAGCGGTCGAACCCCACTCTCCTCCAAACTCACTAAGTTAGAATTTTCAGTTTTTTTCGGAGGGGGACCTTACTGAGTGGTTTTGCTGAGTCGCCCAATTTTTCTCTTACCAGAGAACCGCCGAACCACACAAAATATCTCTTACATCATACCACCCTGGAAGGGAAAGCCAACCAGAGGTGATAGTGGTTAAGCCAGAGTTACAGAGAAGAAGGAAGAGAACTCACTTGGATCGAGTTCAAAGAGGAGCTAAGGGCTCGGTTCAGGCCAACTAAGTTTGAAAATTTTGACGAGGCCCTAACCCACATCAAACAGACAGGCCCACTCAGTGAGTACTGGAGACTGTTTGAACGACTGGGCAACTGGGTCCATGGGTGGCCCCAACGGACCCTAGTGGGGGCCTTCATCGGTGGGCTAAAGCTCGAAATCATCGACGAGATATGCATGTTCAAGCCTTAAAACACTTAGAGACGCTATAGGTCTAGTCCGCATGCGAGAAGAGAATGTGGGTCAATAAAACAGGTTGAATCGACCTATGAGGGTCCAACTCGCCCAACAATCTTCATCCTTACCCAGTCCGTTTCCCTGAACCCTAGCCGCAACACTTGCAACACCAAACAGGCTAACCTGAGAAAAAATGCAGCGAATAAGAGCCCAAGGGTTATGCTTTAACTACGACGAATGCTTAATGGTCAGCTGCTGATGTCACAAACCTCAGCTTCTATTGTTTAAAAATGCAGTGAAGAAGATGAAGAAGTAAATGGTCCCGAATTAGAAATCTCCCCCCACGCCCTCACAAGCTAGACATCGACTCGCACCATACAAGTCACGACGACCATTGAG